ATAAATTAGATTAAATGTACTTTTTTTTGCCATCATTCCACATACAGTAATTTTGTATGCCTTAATGACAAAGTGAAAACATGCTTTTAGAGATTTTTAGATAAGTATTTAGAACCTGGCTATGGAATCCCAGAATGAGCTCCGGTTCATCCTGTTTGTGGTAGGGACTTTAAAGACTCTGAGAGCATAAGGAAAAATATTCTCTAGTTGAGACAAAATATGATCTGTCTGGCAAAACCAGGTACTGCACACAATACTCTCTTATAATAACATGTCTGTGGTAAAGCATGGCGATGGAAGAATTATGTTGTGGGGATATTTCTCAGCAGCAGGGACTGGCAAAATGGTTAGAATTGAGGTTGAATGGTGCCAAAAACAGTTCCTTCTGAAAGAATCAGAAAGGAAAGGCCAGTTCTTTTCTTTTTGCTATACAATGAAGACATTTGGGCTTGAGATGAAAAGATGAATAATGAATAATCAATCTGAAAGTCTACTCTTGGATTTAGCCCTAGGTTTGGCCTGTGAAGACTGCATTTGTTGTTGGAAAGGATAAACCAAAAGTGGCTGTGACGGCTGTGGCGCAGTTGGTAGAGCGGGTTGTCCACTAATCGTAGGGTTGGTGGTTCGATTCCCAGCCCGGGTGACTCCACATGCCAAAGTGTCCTTGGCAAGACACTGAACCCCAAGTTGCTCCCAATGACAAGTTAGCGCCTTGCATGGCAGCTCTGCTACCATTGGTGTGTGAGTGTGTGTGTGTGAGTAAAAGCGCTATATAAGTGCACATTTACCATTTACCAAAAGTAAGACCAGAGAGTTGTCTATTGTAGAATTTATCTTTATTGATGATTAACTCATGATGCAGCAGCAGAATGAATTCAGCAGCAGAATGAATTCAGAAGTTCACATAAAAATTCTTCCTGCCAATTTACAAAAGAAATGCATCCAATCAAATTGAGAGGAACTGCAAACTCAACAAAGGACTTTATCGGGGGAAAAGTGGAAGGTTTTAGACTGGCCAAGTCAATCACCAGATCGTAACCCAATTGAGCAGCATTTCACCTACCGAGGAGGAGAAGGAAAGGAAGTGCAATTGCAGATGCACTGATTTTATGCAGTTATTGCAAGCAAGGGCTATGCAACCAAATCCATCCATCCATCTTCAACCGCTTACTCCTTTTCAGGGTCACGGGGAACCTGGAGCCTATCCCAGGAAGCATCGGGCACAAGGCTGGGTACAACCTGTACAGGGTGCCAGTCCATCGCAGGACACAATCACATACACACTCACACACCCATTCATACACTACAGACCCTTTAGACACGCCAATCAGCCTACCATGCATGTCTTTGGACTGGGGGAGGAAACCGGATTACCCGGAGGAAACCCCCGCAGCACGGGGAGAACATGCAGACTCTGCACACACATGGGACTCGACCCCCGGACCCTGGAGGTGTGACTTGAACGTGCTAATGCAACCATATATTAAGTGTTATTTACTTTAATTCACTGTAAGACGTTCTGTTCAAATTTTTTCTTTTGCTCACCTAAAAATTGGGCTTCCACCAAAGGTGCCATGTTCTAAGTTGTTTAACACATCTAGATGTGAATATCAGGAAATGAAAGCTAAAATTCTTATAAACTGTTTCATTTATTCTTTGATCTTACACCCAAATGTCTTCAGTATGTAAGAAAAACAAAATAATTGTATAAAGAGGTCTGTGAAGAATACTTAATCCAGATTTAACACAACCTCAAAGTGGTGCAACCTCACTATTTACCTAAATCATTTACACAATACCAGCCTAATACAATATTTAACTTTAAATTGTTTGTTTTAATTGAACGAACATCTGTAAAATGCACAGTACTAAAGTACATAGTGTTTACAGGTAATAACAGACTACATAATAGTTACTCCATGTCCATGTCAAGTTTCTCTGTCCTATACACCTGTCATATTTTATTTTTAAACATTGATGCCATGAGTAATTTTTAAAAAGCTTGGAGTTTTACTCTAGATTGTTTTTGTGTGCAACTTTATCGTTTCAGGTGATCATCTGTACTCATCTTATGTCTGGAGACCCCTGTTTCAAAACGTGAGTGTTTTGAAACCTAGACCTGTTTTTTTAAATTAAAGTTAGTCTTTAGTGGTCTGGTGCAGTTTTGTCAAGGTATGGATAAGAAACAAAGATGTGAAGAAATTGAGGTGAAATTTTTGGAACAGTCTTATTTATACTGTATATACAAGTAATCACCAACTGCACATTGTGTTTTCATTTATTAGACTCGTTTGGAATTCTTACTAAAAAGCCCTGAAAGAGAGGATTTCTTGTGAGCCAAGTACTTCGCCAGACTTTAAATAATTAGATATCATTTGGTTGATTAGGGAAAGAAGTGCTTCCATTCAGTAGCTTTCCAGAGAGATGGCACTCTACAATTGGTCTGTTGTCAAATGCTTAGCACTTACTTTCTTTGTGTTGATTGGTACCAAAACAAGACCATTGCCATGTCAAAGAAAATATTTCCCAAAGAAGCCACTGCTGGATAGAGCAGTGCATGTTGCCATGCAATGCACAAACTGATTGACAGCCCATAGTAAGTGTAATGGTTTAAATTTAATGAAGTATTGCTTCAGTTGGAACCTTGTTCACCAAATACTAAAGCCAGAAGACACTTGTTGTCGGGTCTATTTAATACAGATTCAGTTTCTAGGTAATTAGTTTCTAGGTAATTCAAAATTTTTATGCAATGGAGCAATGATTATTGGTTTCACTCACTTGTTAGTGTTGCCTGAATCCAGTCCGGTGTCACCATTACTGTTGCCCAATATATAGGCTCTATATAGAACAGACTATAAATAGTGAATGAGGGAATGATTTCATACAGCACAGTTCTTAATGTCCATGGTTAAATGATGTCTCAAAGCTTCCCAAGTGAACTGAACTAATTGCATTGCAGGAGCAGACAGATAAATAGGTTTAGGTCTAAAAGTTAGAAGTCTGTTTTATGTAGCTATTTTCTTATATCCTTCAAATACAGTGAGGGGAAAAAAGTATTTGATCCCCTGCTGATTTTGTACGTTTGCTCACTAACAAAGAAATGATCAGTCTATAATTTTAATGGTAGGTTTATTTGAACAGTGAGAGACAGAATAACAACAAAAAATCCAGAAAAACGCATGTCAAAAATGTTATAAATTGATTTGCATTTTAATAAGGGAAATAAGTATTTGACCCCTCTCTAAATTTCTGGCTTCCAAGAGTCTTTTACACAGGTAACAAGCTGAGATTAGGAGCACACTCTTAAAGGGAGTGTTCCTAATCTCAGCTTGTTACCTGTATAAAAATGTAGAATCTATTATATGAAATTTCACAGTAATCTGCTCTGGGTTTGTACGTATAATATTTATTGGCTCAGTTGGTAGAGGGGGTTGTCCACTAATCATTCCCAGCCCACATTCTGAAGTGTCCTTGGGCAAGACACTGAACCCCAAGTTGCTCCCGATTACAGGCTAATGGCTTGTGTGTGAATGGGTGAATGAGAAACAGTGTAAAGTGTCTTGTAGAGGTTAAAATGCACTATATAAGTGCAGACCATTTACTGTAATTTTTGTAATGTATTGAGCGCACCCAAATATAAGCCACACCCACTAACTTTAAAAATAAAAACAATTTTGTAAATATATAGGCCGCACTTGTCTATAAGCCGAAGGTGTCCACGTTGTAACATGAGAAATTTACACAGAAAGATGTTACACAGAAAGATTTTTTAACTTTTAATTAAATACGTACCGTAAATGATTTTATTCCGAACAGTGCATGTAACACTGCTGTTTAAAAAAACAACAAAAACAGTTGCCTACCAGGAAAAGTTATTGATTGCTGTCTTCATCTTCCTCCTGCGCACTAAAACCACTAAAGTCGTCGTCTTCAGTGTCGGAATTGAACAGCCTCAGAATTACTGGTACTTTGTCACACACTTCCTCAGTTTCTCTTCTTCTTCTCTTCTGTCGTCTTTTTGCATTGATGCCAAGCTTACGTGCAGCAGCTCTATTTCCTTCTTCGACAGCCAGATCGATCGTGTGCATGAAGCGAAAAATGACTGATCTGAAGAAATTAGTGTGAGTGCGTTTGATTGTCGAACAGTTTTTGGTTCACTGTTGACCTGTTCGGTAATTTCATTGGTCCGATGTGAGGTTAAATGTTTTGCCAGCATGAAGCTCGTGTACCCGTAAAAACCATAAATTAGCCGCATCGTTGTTTAAGCCGCAGTGTTCAAAGTCTGTGAAAAATTACGCTTTTTATAGTCCCGAAATACGGTACACATACAGCTTTATTTAACTCGAGGTCCTAAACTTTTTGGGTAAATGACCCAAAATGGACATTAGAATTTTCTGTGACCCCAAGTTGCAGTACTTCAGTAAAGTAACATGCGTATGATTCCTTGTACTGACTTTCCAAACTATTGGGAAGTGGTTGGGGTGGTGTGATATGACTCAGTGTGAAGCAGAGCAGCTTGGTTTATACTTGGTTCATGATTTTGTTTGTGCGTACAGATGCACTGGTAATGCAAGTCGAATTAATGTTCACACATTCGCTTTGTATGTCACTCCTGGTAACATTTCAAAATATTAGCACTCATACCCTGTTTTCAGTATTTCTAATTTTCTAATTGGTTAAATATTTAAATTAAATAAAAGGAGATAGCGAGTGAAACTTACTACATTTACATTTATTCACTTGGTAGGGCTTTTAACCAAAACAACTTACAAATAACACCATTTGTAAATCAAGCGACCCCATATTGTGACCCCTAATTTCAAAACTCCTGATTTAACTCTTTTACTTTTCATAACCAAGATTTTAAAAGCATAGCGCAGGTATATGTTATGTATGTTATGTACACATAGGTATTCGAAGTTTGGAAGCCTGCAGTAATTGGGATATTTTCCAATCTGATTAAAGGCTATGCTAAAATGGATATGATGACCAAATTGGGTGCCGCGGTGGCTTAGTGGTTATACGTTTGCTCACACCTCCAGGGTCCGGGGTTCGATTCCCGGGCCAGGTCGTGTGTGTGCGGAGTTTGCATGTTCGGAGGAAGCCGGTTTCCTCCCGCAGTCCAAAAGATTATGTATGATTAGACGTGTCTAAATTGTCCATAGTGTATGAATGTGTGTGTGAGTGTGTATGTGATTGTGCCCTGCGATGGAATGGCACCCTGTCCAGGGTGTACCCGCCTATGTGATGCTCCCGGGATAGACTCCAGGTTCCCCGCGACCCTGAAGGAGTAAGTGGTAGAAGATGGATGATGACCAAATTAAAATGTGGCTTGTGTTTGTAGGCATGTTATAAATTTTGGTGGGAAATTTGACTGGTTCTCACAAGGAAAAAACAAAACAAAAAGCCAAAGGTTTAGGATAATTTTAGATTTAGATTTAGTCGTTAGCATTAATTAATAGTAATAATTAAAAAGTAATTAATAGCATATAATTGATTGATTGACTGATTAAATAACATAAATAATTGGATGTTAATAAGGTAGAAACTGGGACAAGAGCCTTTTTTCCTGTCCTGTCTGTTATAGTACCATGAAAGAGCTATTCTGAATATAATATTCTGAATAATATCAATTCATAGTCAACCTCTCAAGGGTACAAAACATATTGTTTCAGAACATCTTTTAAAGCACAACGGTTTTTTTTTTCTTTTCTTTTTTTTGGTGTTAGGGCCTGGAGCATATTGGGCTGTGTCTATATGAGTGTGTATATCATATGTGCATGTTTATATGGGATTTGTAGATTCTTAACACTTCTTCTATCTCCATACAAGCCCTCCATCCACTGCCACAGTGATCGGGATCCAGGGAAATGAAGAGAGTCTGCTGGAAGAAGCGAAGGGTGGAGAAACCCAGAAACCCTTCCTGGGGCTCTCGGGTATGTCGACTCCTCTGATTGTGGTTAAAGATAAATATGTGAGACTTCTCACTGGCACAATAGAAGAGCTTTGCCATATTGTTCGAATCTCAACAATGCCACAGCCATCCATGACAGGAAGTCCAATAAAGGTAAATTGGCCCTGCTGTCCTGGTGGGAGAATCATGATTGTTTTCATTATTCTCTCTTTCCTGTCAATCAGAATGACGCTGACCACTCGTAGGCATCTGTGAACTCATGTATACGGCAGATGGCAGTTAACACTCTCCTTCAAGTACTGCCCTATGATGTAGCATGAGCAGTAGTTCCACAGAATGTGGTGGCAGAACTGTAGATGAGGTGGCAGAGCTGTAAATGTCTTGCATCCTTTTTCCTTAATTGGTTGGTAGCTTTTGTGCAGGGGAGAACTGCTAGGTGTGAGTTAAAGTAGTCCAGTCTTGAGATGACGAGACTTTACAAGCACCTGATTGGCTCTTGTGGATATAAAAATTCCTGGATCCTCCTGATGTTGTAAAGTAGAAATCTGCATGACCTATTCAGGTTAGCAGTGTGGTGCAAGAACAATACTTGATAGGACAGGACAACTCCACAATTACATTCAGTGTTAGATGGTGAGAGCTGAGAATTGTCCAGGGAGTTTATAGGATCTTGATGTATACATCTCCAGGTTGAGCTGTATAGCAGCTCAGTTTAGATGGGATTTAGTTTCAGCTGATTAGCTGCTATCCATGTTGAGATGTTTGCCAGACATGCTGTGATCCACGTAGAAACATGTTGGTCTGAGAGAAGAAAGGAGAGGATGAGTTCAGTGTCATCATCATAGCAGTGGTATATAAACTCATGTGAGGATATGACCTCAGAGAGAGAGTAGGTAGGAGAACAGAAGAGTGCTCAGTCTTTTGAGTCCGTCTTCTTTCTTCTTGAGTATTTTGGGACACTAGTGGAGCGTCTACATGGCGCAGATATGGATCTCCTCCTAGTGGCATGAAGCTTCTCAGTAACAGCTACCAGGGAAGTTTATACCTCTTATAACCCTTGCTGTCTTGAAGGCAGTGGCTAAGTGATCAGATGTTATGGAGTCTTTTACGATGGAATTGAAGGGGAATAGGCCTTGTAAGATATTGGTAAATGGTAAATGTGCACTTATATAGCGCTTTTATCCAAAGCGCTTTACACTGTGTCTCATTCACCCATTCACACATTCACACACACACACACCAATGGTAGCAGAGCTGCCATGCAAGGCGCTAGCTTGCCATCAGGAGCAACTTGGGGTTCAGTGTCTTGCCCAAGGACACTTCGGCATGTGGAGTCACCCGGGCCGGGAATCGAACCACCAACCCTATGATTAGTGGACAACCCGCTCTACCAACTGCGCCACAGCCACCCCTATTCTGGAGTATTGTTAATATGGAGGAAGAGATGGGATCCAGCAGGAACATGGTGGGTTTGCTGGACAAGAAGAAGAGAAAATGTTTGGGACTGGGACAGTTCCGCTGATGTCAATGAGTTTACGGATGTAGCAATTAGCTTTGTTAGCATGCTAATTGAGCATACAACACACACAATACGGACTTTCTCAAATGGGTGACCATGGGTGGATAATACTATCCGAACCACGGTGAAGCGTGCACAGCCGCAAACAATGCAGGGTATGCTATAAGCAGTGACTAAGCAGTGAAAGCAACTGAACTCCGGTAGAAAATGACCACCAGCTGAACACTTTATGCGTACTTTGAGGCTAGCCACACTACTACTAGCCTGCCGACTAGCGCTACAGAAAGAAGCAACTCTGTTAGTGATGAGAGCACGATCACCGTCTCGGAGAATGAGATTAGGCAATTTCACTTCTATCTTCAACCAGTTCCTAGCTGAGTGTGTGGACCCCACCTGGTTTAAAAAATGTTGTCATTCCTGTGCCTAAGAAAAATAAGCCCTCTTGCCTAAATGACTATAGTCTTGTAGTCTTAACATCACTTGTCATGAAAGTTTTTGAGAGGGTTATGGAAAAACTCCATCTGCTACTGCATCCCTGACACCATCTACCTGCTCTAGTTTGCCTACTGAGCCAATAAGTTCACTGAGGATGCCTTCTCTCACGTCCTTCACAACACCCTCACCCATATGGACGACAACAACAAAGGGAACTATGTGAGGCTGTTGTTTATTGACTGTAGCTCAGCCTTCAACCTAGGTGTCCCACATAGGCTGGTCTCCAAGCTCAGTGACCTCGGCCCTAATGCTTAATGCCTGGACTTCCTCACAGCCAGACCTTGTGAGAGTGAACCAGTTTACCTCCAATACCATCACCCTGAGCACCAGCACCCCACATGTTTGTGTCCTGAGCTTCCTGTTCTACTGTCTCTACACATGTATCCTCTCACAGCTCCACCTCTATCATCAAGTCTGATGATGACACAGTGGTTATGGGCCTCATCTATAAACAACGTTGAGGCTGCCTACCTCGACAAGGTAGTGAAACCTTTAGTGCCAGGCTAAGAGTCTCTCACTGAACGTTATTAAAACCAAGGAGCTGGTTGTGGACTTAAGGAAGAGTCAGCAGAGGAACTACATCTCATTTGAGATTATTGGGACCTCTGTAGAGAGAGAGAGTGAGCAGCCATACCACAAAATGCAAAAGCATCAGCAGTAAGAATCAGAAGGCTAGGTTGAAATTTGCAAAGAAATAAAGAGATGAGCTACAAAAGTTCTGTTTTAGTTTATTTATTTATAAAGCAAATTTAAAAACAGAACGGTTTTAGGCAATCCGAAGTAGTTCTCGAACCAAGATGAACCTCTATCAAAGTGATTGAAAGGAAAGTGGTATGGAGAAAGAAAAGATCTGCTCATGATCCAATATATACAAGCTCATCTGTGAAACATGGCTTGCATGGCCGCTTCTGAAACCATCCTTGCGAGGGTGCATTTTTGCTCTGTGAGCATACAGAACATTATCCACTCATGGAAAACCATACTCACAAGGGAGCATTTCAGCTCCTTGTGCACAAATGCGGTTGCGTGAGTGCTCTCTCTACACCCTTGCAACTGCTCAACCTTCACTCTCCAAGTTGTCTTTTGAGACGGTGGCTGGTGTCACCACTCCTTTGTTCGGTCACTTCCAATACTGATCATGACCTTTGATTGGCTTTTTGGTTTGACACGCATAATCTCTTATTCCACACTCCGGTCCAGCCAGTCCAGTTGGCCAGAAACAACAATTTTCATGGGAACATCAAGTAAGTCTTACCTTCTCTACACACTATAATACAGCCAGCTAGCTAAAGATTTGATGTTAGAAAAGCTAATATCACCGTTGTATATTTTTGTGTGAATACATTGGTGAATTCTTAGCTGTACTGCTGTGATAAAAGCCCATATACTGTCATGTGAAAAAATACGTAGACCCCATGGAAATTGTTGGCTTTTTTGATATATTTGGACAAGCAAACATTTGATTATCATTGAAACCGTGCCACCCTGTCCAGGGTGTACCTCACCTTGTGCCCAATGCTCCCTGGGATAGGATCCAGGTTCCCCGTGACCCTGAAAATGATAAGCGGCATAGAAGATGGATGGATGGATGGATACAGTGCCTATTAATAAAGTTGATGTACTTGAACAAAACCACAACCAAATTAGCTTTTTTAGTAATTTATTGAACAGAAATATCAATTGATGTGATATTCTTCTGTGGAAAAAGTAAGTACACCCTTGGCCTCAGAAACCAGTATTGCCCCCTTTTAACAGAAACAATGTCTTGTAGGCATTTTACATAATTGTCCACCAGGCTTGCTGGAATTTTTGACCACTCTTCCATACAATTTTCTTTCAGTTTCAAGATGTTTTAGGATTTTCTTGCATGTATTGTCTGTTTCAAATCCCCCACAACATTTTAATGGGATTCAAATCCGGGCTTTGACTTGGCCATTCCATAACCCTCCATTTTTTTCTTTTGAAGCCATTCCTTGATGGATTTGCTAGTGTGCTTAGGAGCATTATCCTGTTGAAAGGTCCACTTTTAGTTAAAATTCAACTTTCGGACAGATGGCCTCACATTATCTTCAAACACTGTATGATATAATGCAGAATTCATAGTTGAATCAATGAATGAGATGTTTAAATAACACCTGTACTCC